CCACCGACAGAACTAGAGGTAATGGCCACAAACTGAAGCACCAAAAGTTCCACAGGAACTTAAGGAAAAATTTCTCAACAGTGAGGGTGACAGAGCGCTGGAACAGGCTGCCCAGAGAGGTTGTGGAGTCTCCTCTGGAGATCTTCCAAACCCGCTTGGATGCAGTCCTGTGCCACGTGCTCTTGGTGACCCTGCGTGTGCAGGGAGGTTGGACTAGATGACCTCTAGAGGTCCCTTCTAACCTTAAGCATTCTGTGATTCTATGATATTTAATGTTCAATGTATAGGGAGTATTGATTTGTAATATCAGGAGGTGGGTGTACAGATTTCGACCTCATAAGTGAAATTGAAATTTAACTACATAATTTGTCTAATTCAAAAATCTCTGATGCTTTTACAGCTCAGGAGGGAAGAGTTTGAGTTTGGCTCAGAAGGCTGAGGTTTGTTAAAATATTTTGTACTTAGCTGAAACTAGATTTTACAATCTCTTATTGATTAGACTACAGCACCCAGTTATCATTTTGTAGTAGTGTGGCAAATTGGGTACAGCATATGAAGTTTAAACACTGGAATGGCACTAGTCATTGAGCTGTAATTTAGGAGTTGGCTTTATTTATCTGAGGGATGTTTTGTAAATTATTAACAACACTGTGCCAGCCTGGTGACTGTCCTGGTTCTGTACAAATGCACTTATTCTGTCCCTCTATTGCATGTCTGAGTAGTTCAGAAGTTTTGTATATTTATTGTATTAACACAGTGTCATAGAATAAACAAAAAAGACACTTTTTCTGGATGTTTGCTCTGTATAGTTTTGAACAATATAGGGACTTTTTTTTAAAGGTCAGGATTATGTGTAGGAGGGCTGATCTGTGTAAAATTATCACTTGTTTTTTTAATAATCCTGTATATAAATTCTGTAATGCTGCTGAAATGAGAAAATAAAATGTCCATTACTGAAATCATCCACATGGGCAGTGGCAATTGGTCTACCCTGATATTAGCAAAATGGCCCAAGGGCCCCGCCACCGCTTACCTGCGCTGTACAGGGGGAGGGCTGCACTCATCGCAGGCTCTGTCACTGCTGGTACAAGTACAAAAAGTGATGCCTCAGACATTATTCAAAGTAAAATGAAATTGCTGAAAACAGCACTGGTTTGGTACTGTTTATTTTCCTCATTTCTGTGTATTGAATTGACATGTCTGTATCACTGCTGAGTCCTGCAGTTTCTGTTTAGGTACTATCAATGCCTGTTGATTGTTTTTCCATATAATATCAACTGTAACACCTGCTATTTAGTCCCGAGTTCATGACCAGGTTTTCTTTGAAGGATGCAGTGGGTGAGTTAACAGTTTCATAGCCCTCCCACTCTTGCTGCTGGTTAGAGTTACGGCACAGTTTGTGTGCTGCTCCGTGGAGGTCAGGGAGTCGCTTACCTTGAGAAGCTGCAAACACCAAGCTGAGAAAGCAAACAAGACACACAGGAAAAGTACGAAGCAGTTTAAAATATTCAGTGGTACTGCTAGAAAGATACTTTGGCCAAGCAAAAGACACATGTCTATTACCAATTCATAACCATGCTCTACAGTGGATCAGTTTGTTTTAGGTATAGAAATAGCTTGTAATTTTTTCCACAAACCAATTTTGTGTCTGCAAATAGCTTTTATTCTGATTTATAGAAAAAAAAAGCACAAGCAATTTTTGTTTTAAAAATTGTATATCCTTCTTTTCATCAGAAAGGAGCTTCAGTGCTTCATTTAAAAATGAAAAGCATTTAGGTCAAAATACATTAATTAAAGGAGAAAGTCTTTTCTAAAACCACTGCATTGTGGAATGCATACAATTTCAGATACCACAGTTTGATCAGTAAGTGGCAATAATTATTAAACTCAGTGGCAAAGTTAAAAGACTAGCAGAAATCACAGGGTTCCCAAATGCTGTAATGTAGACGCCTTGCTCAGGCTCAGCATACCCAAGATGTATGAATTAAGGGAGTCACACTTTGGTTAAAGCTTGAACACTCACATTTTAATTGAAATTTTTTTATTAAAAAATCATTAGGGTAAACCATTCATGCTAACAATTGTACATAGTGGTGACTCAAGAACACAATAGCAGTACCACAAATAAACCATGGTTCCAGAACAGGCAGATGGCCCTGGCCTTGCCCCTCACGCCGCCCTCCGGCCACCCCGCAGCGGCAGCGCCCGCTGCTTCCGAGGAAAACATAAGAAACGCTCCCTTTACCATGAGGAAGGCGCGTGGTTGGATATGGGCTAACAATGCAAAACTGAAATGGGTTATCCGAAAAATCTCCGAATCCTGAGAATGTTACTTTTGCTGAGTAAAACAAATAGAAAGATGATAGAGACTAACCAGAAGTAGCTCAGTTGTTGCCATGTTTTTTTGCCCTGTCATGTTACTGTAAAGCACGCTCAGAAACACTTTTGAGCCTTTTCAGCTTTTGCCATGGGAATTGCTGAAGAAGGCTACAGCTTCACCTCCGAATGTCTGCATT